TGAATTTATTCATTCTGTAATCTGAATATTGAACTTTTTGTGGGCCGATAGTAGCCCAGAGAGTTGCCAAGTTTCGACTGGTATTTATTATGTACAAAGGAACAAAATAGGGAAAGGAGTCCTACAAAACGGTGAACTTTCCAGAACACTACACCCAGTACACTAATAGAACGATTCTGTCTTCCCAAAAATTATACAGGGTGTTGCATAATGATAGGCCATATTTGTAAGTGTGCATTCCTGAACCAAATTCAAGTAGAAAAGTTTACAAAGCATGAATCATAAGAGGTCTGGTTTCAAAGATACAGCGATTCAAACTTAACAAATGTCTCTTTCATAGCTTGAATAATAGCTACGATGGAAGGTTAAAAATATGAAACAACAATATTCCCTAACAACGACCAAAGTTTGGATTCAGTTTTAGATTTTATGTAACAATTTGGTGACGTGTAATGAAGTCCTTTTTGTTGTTTCCTCGAAAACGAAGTATGATACGGAGGGATACTAAGAAACAAATAACATCATCAGCTGTTTAATCCGTACAAATTTTTTAGGGCCATTGGTGTTTTTTATCAATATTATTCGTAAGGCTGCCCATTCCTCTTTCGAGACGCCACATATTCATAATAATCATCTGCTAGTTACCAGTAACTTAGCGTCTTATTGCAACGAACAACTCTGCCAAGATTCAACAAAATCGACACACGGATCTTTGAGATATTATTAAAAAATCTTTTTTAACTTACTGCTTTTCGTCCAGTACCAAGATAATAGAAGACAATGACAATGTTTGAAAAAAAAAGCATACCTTTAAGTTTCCCGTCTCGCTGGCAAGATACAGGGTTTTGTAAAACCGTATTTCAGAAGTAGAACGGATTAAAGTTTTTTTGTACAGGTTTTACATTAATCAATCAATTCTTAAGGGTACAGAAGGCTTTAAGATTTATTTCTTATTTTAGCTAGGCACACAACTTACAATCTCCAAAGAATTGCTATTGCAAGTTGTGTCAATCTTCACCATCATTTCCCCACTTACCCCTCTTCAAAGTCGGATAAATGTCGAAATACACCATTATAACACAATGACGATATAATAAAGTTTTTATGAATTTGTGAGAGCTTATCTTACATATAGTAGGTATCATATTCTTCTGGGAATAAAATGTCCAAAACGAATTTTATCCTGTTTAGTGGTCTTGATATACAGCTCCCCTTCCCTGTAGGGATTGATTTTGAATTCCAAAGATCGGTGCACATCGGTTGAGCACAAGTCAGTCAGATAATCGGAAATATAATGTATTTCATGCATCATCATTGTTATGTAATAGTGGTCTTCCAGAAATACTCGTTCGTGAGGGATACGAAACGGTAGTAACGGCAAAGTGATGTTTTTTCTTTTGACATTTAGGGTTTATAATGCGTTTTTTTATTGAATTTTATCTGTACCTTCTATATTTCAACATATTTTAGCATCACTAGATCAGAATTATTGTGATTTGTAATACGGCGAACAGTTATAAAATATATATTAGTGGATTTACCTGGATGTAATTTGTATAAACAAAAAGAAAGAAATAGTGTGTTCACTGTTTGTGTTATACTTTATATAGATAAAGTTGAAGTATTTCATTCATTTCTCGATCAGTTCATCATCAGAGCCGTTAAATCTCATAAATATGCTGTCTATCTATTGAGGTGGCGGTTTAGTTTCTTTATCTAAATATCTAGCATAGTCCAGACACCACATAGTAGCATCACCCGACATTTGTAAAAGTGGAATACTGTTTGAGCAAATAAATATGATTTTACTTCAAGCGTAGCTAGGCCAAATGTGACTGATTTGGTACATAAGGCCGATCGCATTTACAATTACCAGATAAAATCTGGAAATTGTTTATAGGGTCACCTTCCTTTCCATTACATATTATACACATTATAACTGTTCACGTGTGGCTCAGAAACCCTAGCATTCGGAACATAGTTCTTTCAATTTCATAAAGGTTTAAATAACATGTACTTCGATCACGAAATATTTCTGGCCGTATGCTTAAGTGAGCTTTTGTGAACGAACTGCTCGACAAACCACCTTTTGAAGCTTATCTTTATCAATCTAGGAATTATATTTCCTTCAACTTTGTGCTATCTTATTTGGAAATTATAATTTGACCTTTTATCTCGTTCAGGGATCATATAAAACTCATTTTTCGAAGTACTTGTTTGAATCGTGTTGTACGGATCAAAATAATACTGCTTTATGAATTCTGGATTTAACAAATATATGCCTCACATAATATTTATCGGAATTTTTAACCTAACTTTTGATTGTACTAGGTGTTCTAGAGAACGGCGGATTTAGAGGGCGGCGAAGGGGGCATTCCCCTCCCCTCAACAAAATGCTGCTTAGAAAGTTTCGAAATTCAAAGGAGTTCCGGAGAGAGACGGAGAAAAGCGAATTTTCCCAAATTCGTTTTAATTTTTTTCTGACTTTATTAGTAGTGGGATTTCAAAATTACACACACATTAACATTGCCACATTTTCTCCTCTAAAAGATGGTATAATTATAATTTCAATATGATGTTTCGTTTCTCGTCCTCCAAACATCAACTTTATTTTTTCTTCTAGACGACATATTGGATATTTACACAGATAAATAGAGTTTTTAATTCTGATTCCAAAAATGTGTGATACGTCATTGATACGTCATTGACATTGCAAAACCTTAGTTAATTAAAAAATGCAGAATTTCTTAGGTATGCATTGTAATAATTTTATCAGATTGTCATTTGTTTGGCATACCCGATTTTACGAATCACCTTTATTTTTTCCTGACATTATTTGAGATGTGATTTCAAAATAAATTGCATGTTATCATTGTTACTTATTCTCCTTTACAAGATGGCGTAGTCAAGTTTTCAATTCAACATGTTTTTTCGACTTGCATCACCAACATTGTGTTTTCATATGGACGCTATACTGCCGTCGTAACAAAGAGTGCCGTATCTACATTTTTTTCATTTTTGAGTTTCATATGTATTCTTACTATTTAGACCAAGCCCAATTCATTTTTTTACCATAAAAAACCGTATCTATAATATAAGTGGCCCAAAGTGCACATACGTTTATGACAATATGACGTAATAAGTAGAGCCTTTAGGTTAGAAAGGTCTAACAAACAAACCTTACTTATAAAACCATATCTGCAATGCTACGGCATATATTGTAAAATTTAATGTTAAATATGTAAAGTAGTTGTTACGTAGAAACTCGTATCCAACGATGCAAACTTAAAAAACCGTATTACTACCCTGCCGCCCTGTTTCTAGTGCAAATTCAGGTAAGGTTGCGACAAAATCTGTCTTTTTCTGATTTTTATAACTGGAAAGACCATTCATCAATGGCCATCTTAAGCAGATTAAAACCCAAAGTGTATATATCCAATCTGGTCGAAGTAGTTGCCAAACGAGGTTCTCTCTGTTTGGAATTTAAAATTAATTTCTTGGATAGTGACTTTAAAAAACTTAATTTTCTGAAAGTCTCTATTACTAAAAATAACCATCAAATGTTACACCCTGAAAAATATTGCGGAAATAGGGGAATACTCGTTATGAAACATTTTAAAAAACCTATCGTCAATTATGCCGAGAGACAAGCTTAGGTTTTGGGAAACAATTCCAGTCTCAGACGAGTCTAATGATTTAGTTGAAAATTTTGAATAGAAAAGTCTATGTAGGTATTATACATGTATCTATATATTATGTATTACTGTTTGTTTTAATGAGCTTTTTTCACCAATAAAGTAACGTATTATGCTTCAGATGTTATTTTTACTGATAAAATAACTATTGCAGTGAACAGGGTTTGTACAAATAAATTCATCATTATTCCAAATGCCATATTTTCATAATATTATAAAAGTTGTTAAGTATTATGAGCATTTATATTATACACATATGTATAGTATAATTTTAACTTAAAATGCCGTATGCGTGATTACTTTACAGTTACGGCTCTTTTACCTGAATTAGTTGTTGCAATATCACCTTAGTAGTAACGTTAATAGCCGTAAATACAGTTTTTGCATAAAATAACGTATTTAAACCGTAAAAACGATATCTAGCAATTTTTTCAAATTGATCTTTACAACTACTTACTATTTTTGAAAAATATAGCAATGTATTAAATTTGTGAGAAACCAAAGCGCGTTTACTCGATTTTCTCGAAACGAAAGTTTTGCAGATACGGCACGCTCTGCTACGACGGCAGTATACTGGAATGTTATACATCTGAATGGACTTTTCAGTCCTAAATTCAGTGATGTATTTACCTTGCCTGACATCTCTCTGTATATTGTTCACTGCTCGATTTATTTCTCTTCTTCTCAGTCTTCTAAACTCTGTTTTTATGTTCAATTTTAGTTCTGATCTGGTATACGTAACAACTTAAATCTGTTTATCTGAAATAACGGAGGTGTGGCAATGTCAATGTATGATGTACTCGCAATATACATTTTTGAAATCAGAATTAAAGATGCAACATTCAATATGACATCCATGAGAAACAATAAAGTTGATGCTGGAGGGCAAGAGACGAAATGTCATATTGGAATTCTAATTATGCCATCCTGTAAAGAGGAAAAAGTGACAATGTTTGTATGCATTTTTTTTTTGAACTCCCAACAAGTCATGAGGAGCTGCACCAGACTGTTCAGCTCCGTACTCAGTGCTTGACCGCGCTGTTGGTAATTACGGAGATACGTTTCACCACTATTACATATTCCACGACTTGCTGAATAAATTAGTGAATGGTTACACATAGTATTTCTCTCGGAGGACCATAAACGTTTGCTCAAATTGTGCACATATGTCTAGTTGGTTCGTTTGCCCTGAGGTGACCGAGACCTCTCCTTTTTGTAGCCAGCTGAAATATGCTATGGCAGACTGAACGTCGAAAATTAATTTGGTATAGTAAGTCGCTCCACTTAATCCCATTCTTGTTCCAGTTGCTTCCAGACTCGTCCTGCCTCCACCAGTGGTGTGCGATGAGGGTCCCGAGCAAAGGTGGTGCCCTCCCACTACGCCTCTCACCCCCTCCACGACCCCTTAAGCCATGAGCGGCGACAGGAAGCCACAGCAACAGCAGCACCGGGTGGCACCACCCCGAGCAGGCCGGCGCTATGAAGACGAGCTCCAGATGAACTATATGGCACCCGGCGCCTTCACTGTACTACCTCCGGATCAGAGGGGCGCCGGGTATCAACCGGTGGAACCGCCTAGAGCTCCTGAACCCTACAGGTACGATATGGTATTCTTTGATTGAAACCTACAATTGGTATGCAGCTCTGAGAAATGACAGACACATATAAGACATTGGGATTTTGAATAGTATAGGAAAGTAACCTAAATCGAAGGCGGATACATCATCCAATTGGCTCTGGATTTACTCAATTTTGTCAAGTGTAAATAGAGGCTTAGCCGAGCTCGCGTCCCATTTCAGTGGTAAACGTTTATAGCGATACTAGCTTTCTGCCTCGCGGAACGTGCAGGTGGCACCACAAATAAATCAATCAGTGATTGCACAAGTCTCTCCGATCACATTTATGCAGGGCAATTGAAAACGTCCCACCACAGATTTATCGAAAACCAATGATTAAAAGAAGAATCGCCGAGACACGTCAAAAGATTTATCAAGGGGACAACTTTTTAACCAAAAACTACTTCACCCCCTTTCACCCTCGGCTCCACAGGGTCGTTCCCTTAGAGATTTTAACTAACAAGGAGTGTCGAGTAACAGCTTTGTTGAAAGGTCTTTCAAAGTCCTTTATTTTGACGTATGATTTTTTAAAATCAGTCGATTCTTTTTTGAGAAAATTAAATAAACACCGAAAATATTAATTTTTATTACAATGAGTGTTCAAAATGTTGCCCGTTAGGGTTTGCCAAACCTACAATAGTGACAATTAATTTATTGATTCAGAAAAGATAACTTCGCATAAGTATGTTTTGGACCTTGTTACTGAATTTACTCAGACTGGATATGTTGCAAATGAATGATGAAGCTGCTAAAGTTGAAGTTCTGGGTCTGCCGGAATAAATCCTAATACTTCATTACGCCAAATTTTTGCTGCGACTGGTATTTCATTAGGCTCTGCACACACAATTACTAAACCCCATAAATTTCATCCATTCAACATGAAAATATTGCAAGTGTTAATCGAAGATGATTTCGATAGGCGAATTGAGTTTTGTGAACAGTGATGAATGCACATTTTATCTAAATGGATTTGTAAATAAGCATAACTGCAGGTATTGGAGCAATGAAAATCCTCATGCTTTTGTAAAAGGGCATACCCAGTACCCCCAAAAAATTAATGTATGGGCAGGCATTTTAGGAAACAAAGTGATTTGGGCCACTGCTTATTAATGAAAATTTGATATGTTGGAGAATACTATCCATTTGTTTATCGCTGACACCATTGAAAACCAAATCGAAGAGGATGGAAACCCTATAATCGATGAGGCTGAAATATATTTCCAAGCAATGGCTAGACGACGAGTTTCCAGATAAATGGGTAGGTCGGAGAGGGCCTATAGAATGGCTAGATCTCCTGATTTAACGACATTAGACTTTTTCTATCGGGCATTTTAGAATCTATTCTGTTAACTCCCCAACCTGAAAGTATGGATAAACTTCGTCAACGCATCATCGAAAGCTGCCATGAATTCCCAGAACATGTTTTTGAAAGCGTCCGTCAGGAATTTGAGCATCGCCTATATAATAAATTGTTTGGCCAATAACGGGCAACATTTTGAAACAAAAAGTGATATTTTCATGCGTTTTTGTTTTCTCTCTGAATAAATTAAGATAAATGAGGATTCTTGTAATTTTTTTGAAAACGAAACGACCGATTATAGAAATTAAACCTCAAAACAAATGACTTCGAAAGACCTTTCAAACAAGCTATTACTCGATACCCCTTGTCGTTGAAAATTTTCAAGGGGATGATCCTGGAGGGCCAGAGTATGAAAGGGAGTGAAGTAGTTTTTGGTTAAACAGTTGTCCCTTTGACAAATCTTTTGACGGGTCTCGGCGTTTTTTCTTTTAATCAGTGGTTTTCGATGTTTTCAACTGAACAACCTGTATATAGGGTTGAGAAGAAAATACCGGACTACACAGATTGGGTCCACACTTTCTCATATAATATTAAGTAGAATAAGTAGGATAGGATGTTTACACAAATGGCAACAACCTAGGTTTGTCTATTTCATGAAATTTAATGAATGAATAGGATTTTCGTTTTAGTTCCACAAACTGGACCTCATTCGGTTGCATAATTATACTCTCCTATATTCTTTTATTAATGCATTTACAGGTTCGGAAAGCATAATGAGAAAAACTAGTAAAAGGAAATTGAGTCATTCTATGTTAGAATATCTAAAGCTATGCATGCCTTCAAATAAGACGATGGGATAGAAGAAGGTAGGAAACAGGAAAAGAAGCCTACGTCTGCGATTGTTGTTGCTGAGGAATTAAAAACTATGTATCATTTTAAAAATAGTTCATATCTTTGCTTGAAAATGAAGCCTCAATTGATGACTGTTAATTTAGCTTTGGCACATAATATACAAAAACATATCAAGGCTCTTAGATTACTTTTTCTAACGTCAAATTCCAACCACTTTATTAACGTGTACAGTAAACATTGCTTAACATTACAAAGTAAACGTCATATACGTTTAAAACATTCTTTCAGCTATTTTGTATACCGGGTGATTATCCAAGGTGGCTCACCCCTATAACTCTTTTATTATGGAAGATAGAAATACGAAATATGGAGGTTTCGTATTATACTTCCGGTTTGACCGGAAACTACTCCAAGTTTCGATTTATACATGAGACTCCTTATATATTTTTACTTATGTAGATCGAGATGTCAAGAAATGTAGATTCATCTGTAATACGCAACCCCCACATTTCGTTTTTCTATCTTCAATAATAAATAAGCTAAAGGGGTGAGCCACCTTGGAGAATCACCCGGTATCTTTTTATTAATAACAATAATGGGGTCTGTTTCTGAACACTGGGCGTTTTAAATCAAAAGAAATGTTGTGATGATAAATTCAAACTTGCTCGGATGATTCTACTTATTTGTAACTAAAAGGGGAACAAATAACTTAAACACGTCTTTAACTATCACCTAAACAGAACGTTTGAGAGGGTCTTGAATCTACAATCTCCATAAGATTAGTTAATTCCATTCCCAAAAACGTGCTTTTTACTTACTCATTCCAAATTGCTAAAACATATAATAGCGTAAAGTTTCGATCTCCAAATTTGTTTGCTTTGATGTTACTTGACATCCCCCTCTGTAACTGGGAAGTATACCAAAGCTTTGCAGGTACTGCCCAGAGGCGGCGAAGTCATACGTGAAAAACGGAAAATGTCAGAACGTTCCCAAACTTCGTTATTTGATATTTCAAGTTTGCAATCATTTTTGGGAGTAGTCAGAAAATCTTTTTGAAGAGTCGGAGCTTATAAACAAGAGTATAAACATTTTTCGACGTTTCTGAACATTATGCCCACTTTAGGGTTAAGTCAAAAAAATTGGAGTACTCAAAATTTTATCGCTACTACCATCACAATCATTAATAGTAGAATATTATTTGTTATTAAAGACTAAAAATTCAAGCTTCATCTCTCAGTGTTGTATACCTACATAGTATGTGGCTTATATACAGTGTGTTTCAATGCGTAGGGCATAGAAGGTTTATTCAAAAATACCATTGTAAAGGAATTACCGTAACGTATGTGAAGTTTTTGTTGAGTCACGATTGATATAATAGACCTTTGGTTGTTTGTATCTCCTCAAAAACTTCTATAGAGATCAGCTTGTATATTCCTGTATTTATAAAGTAGAGGAAAAGTTTTTTTCGATAATAAATAAAATTTGACTCCAAAACATAGTTTTATAGAAATGTCTTAATCCCGTTCCTAAGAAAATAGGAAAGTGGTCTCATTTCGTGTGTAGCTGTATGTGCTTTTTTGATGTTTGATATGTTTTTGCACAGCTTTGGAGGATATTCAAGGTAAATATACGTATAGTATGGTATTTGCACGCTTACAATTTCAATCACTTAAAATATAAATTAATATGCTGCTTTCGTCCATCCGACCATAGACAGCCAACCATGGACAGCTGTTTCGTGCTTTTTGGTAACTCATTCATCAGCATGGTCGAGGCTTGGTCTTAGGGAGCCATGGCGAGTACACCACATCTACTATATCCATTCCGATAGAAAATCACGCTTTGTACTTGTCTTACCCCGATAGATTAAATACCTCGGATAGAAGACAGTTGCTAAGCTTTCGTTCGTTGTCCCAGAGACCAAGCCTAGACTATGCTGTTGAGTTACTAAGAATCACGAAACAGCTGAAAGAGTTGGCTGTCCGGGGTCAGACGGACGTAAGCGGCATGTTATTTGTTAGTCCACTGGCAAGCATACCCTATTTACTGTACCACCAGAATCGTCAGCTTCTAGCGGTCACAGTGGTGACAGGACGCAAACTAAAATCTCTACAGTTTCAACCAATAGCTGCTATACACTTTCGCAGTCGCAGCGCTTTATCTAAACAATTGTTTTTTTTTTAAACAAATTTACCTATCTATGAATTATAGTGTAGAGTCTCAGTTATTCGCATCAATATAAGTACCACCAAAAAATCAGCTTATGCAGAATGAGTTTATTTATCGACAGGATGACACCTAGCCAACGTCACAATAGGAACCACGCATTTGCGGTGATCGGAGAGCCATCTAGACCCAGTTCCAGGAGTACTTCTCCATCAGGAAGGGTCAGTCCCTTCAAAGGACATGGCTTCAACCCTGCAGGGTCCAGGCATGGTTCGCCTGTACCTCCGCCTGACGATGCCAGGATGAACGTCAGGTCGCCTAGACATGGGGCCTCCAGGTGAGGTCATATTCACTAAGCTCTTAGCTTTCCTAACCGGACAGAAGTGAGTGATTCTTATAAATAGGCTCAGAATTCCCGAAAATGGAAAATACTTAATTTGAACTCCAAAGTAGCATGCTAACGAAAGAACCATTTTTTCAGAGTGGTCATTCGCTGGCAAATCAGTTGTACACACAATAAGATTTTTTTAGGAATTATTAGGAATTACAGGGAATTTCGGTGAATTATGGGGAATTATTGGGAATTATGGGGAATACGCAAGGCATCAAAGGCATTTTTAACTCTACATAGTGTAAGCTAGCTAATATGAGCTGTAAGTTGACCAGGACGTGCCAAATGCCTGTTTTCTTAATAATAGTTCCTTCTAAAGGAGACATGTTTCTTATGTCTGCAAAACTACACCTATTAAATTTGGCAACACCGGTGCATAATCTTGTTCAGGTTCCCTTAAAATTGTTCATCCTTGTTATTATACAGGCTGTTTCACAACTTGTCCGACAAATTTTAACCGCATATGCACTGCTACGGAAGAAGTTAATTTCTCAAAAAAAAAATTAATAAAAGTTCTACAGAAATCGAGAAAATAAAATAATACAGTTTATTCAAGGATTTTATTCCACAATACCAAAACTTTCGTCTTCGGCACTTAAAACGCGTTGTGGGCGAACCCGACCCCATCCATTCCACATCTTGGGCGCATGTGCAGGTAAAACAATTGAACTAAATGTTTCCTGATGTGGTATGTGCCTATTCGGAAATCGGTGTGCATACAAACGAGAAGCCGCTCGCGAATTTTGCCCTGCTTCTCCGTACGTTAAAACAATGTCCACTAACTCCTCGTTAGTGTACACATGTGCCATTTTTATTAATATATATGGTCTAATATGAGGTTCTTCATGTAATATTTTTTTGTATACCGAGTGTCTCAGAAAATTGCCATCTAATAAAGTTGTATTTTTTAAATCGAACACTTTATTCGAAATCACTGTACAATTAAATATTATATATACTTCATATAAGATTCTATAACTTTTATATACAACTTTTTCTTCTGGAGGTATTATACAGTAGTTAGAGGAGGCCAATTTATAGTGGGACACCCGGTACGTGTTATTTAACGTTTTAACACACTGCATCAAAAAAATATGCCGTCACGAATGTCATGCATGAAATCTGAGGAATAGAATGACTGGGGGATCAAACCTTAAAATGTTAGTGTATCACTAAGGAATATCCTGAATACTCTTATAGAGGATTACAGACATCATTTAAGGCACGTGTACTAGTCATATGATCTAATCTCTGTAATGCGTGAAACCATATATTTATAGGGGAATTATTTATTTATAACATGTATAATTTAATTTAGTACTGTGTTGTATGTTTTTTTTTATTTAGAATTAGAAGAACTGAACTAACCATATACAAGTTTTTATGATACAGGCAACTGAGTTTATTCGCTCCCTGGGAATTGGGGGAATTATGGTACATTAGAGGGACTTATGGGGGAATCAAGGTGTATTAGATTAATTGTGAAGGAATTATCTAAAATAAGGGGATTTATTGGGCATTGATGGAATTACCGGGAACTACGGGGAAGTATTTCCCGTTATTGTATGAGAGTAGATAATAAGCCGATATAGTTATAGAAGATCTGAGACTAGCAATATGTAAATTCAGTATTCTACTGATTTTAAACCTACGTCGTTAAAAACAACATTAGTGGCAGCTATGTAGGTGATATTTTCAAAAGAACTTCGTTTCTTAGGACACTCAACATGCCGTAGAATGTATAATTAGGCCCTAAGAGTATGGACAGAAGCATCTACCACCTAAAATCAAACGAGAGAACACAATTACTTCACACCTTTTTGCATGTTACCCAAAAAAGCGACATCCCTGGCTTGCTAATTAAAAAAAAATGAAGTTTTGCGCTCATGGACTACCTTCCGACCATCGATAAATTTCTAGAAACATTGATGCTTTGATTAACGTATTATACCTGAAGGTAGACAACATAAAACCATATTGCCGCGTCAAAAAAGCAAAACTATTCCATATGAAATGAGATAACCCTGCGCCATCTACGAGAATTTGACACAGCTATGTTGAAATACAGTTAGCTGCAGCTCCATCTATGAGACACTAATTCTTTCAAATTTCTGATTAGTGCGAAGAGAAGAAATATACTTGAGGCAAGTTCTCATAGGTAACGCTACAGTATCTTATTTCATGTCAGATAATTTTTGGACGCTGAAATATAGTATTGGGTTGTTGATGCTTTTATAAATTATAGGAGAATCCAAAATGTTCCAGGAAGGTGACTGTTTTATTGTACACAATTCCAAAAAATTTTTAATGACCCGCTCTGTCACCAATTGTTACTTTTTCTGAATACGAGCGTTGTACAAGGTATTTTCAACACATTTCTGCCGGTAACATAAATTTGTATTTTGGTACAGTATTAATCTACAATCCTTAGAACATAAAACAACTTGAGCAAATATACAGGATTTAAGCGCATAGTTGCAGATTTTTTTTCGATGAGAAGCTGGCCCATGATTTAAACAAAAAAATGAGCAAATCTTATATGCAAACTTTCTCATTATTATTTGTAGAATACCAAGGCGAAGAGGTAGCAACTCTTTTGGTGAACGCGTGTATCATCCTGACCTTTTGGCGTCGAAAGGAGTGTCAGGTTTGGAGAGGGACATGAGCCAGAGCATGGGGGAGTTGAGAAGTAGTAGGAGACCTCCTGCTGCACACCAGATTCATAGAAGCCCTGGTAAAAGGGTCACATATAGCAAAACAACACCTGCCTTCCAAAAGCTGTCGCCTATTGAAGGTAAAACTGTTTTCTAATATTTTTTCATGCAATTTCCATATTTTTCAATCCATGTCTTTCAGCTGAAGGGTCCCGCACAAAACGTATGGAATAAGGTTCCAGTCGATTGTTCTAAAAGTTCGCTATGATATACCTATTTCTCGCCTTTACGGACAGAAGGTCTCATGGCAATCGTATTATTAGTTTTTGGGGGGATAAAACCAATTTTTAAATTCCTCGAGAAAACCATTCAAAAACAGCATGTACCGAATCTAAAAGACCTTCATAAAATAGCTGATGCTCTTATTAATAGATACCATCCTCGAATTGCTATTTATGGGAGGTGCTAATGCTGCACTAGCGCTTCAGCTGTTAGCTTCAGATAAGTAGGAGGTATAATAAAAGGAATTTGCTCATGTTTTAGAAACCCAATGAGGTGTCGACTATGAATTTATATCGACTTTGAAATTATATTTGCGATAAGTAATATGTCAGACAATAAATCTAAGTTCCAATCTATTTATTAAAACAGAATATGGATATCTTTGGCCCAGTATTAGCAGACATCATTAATGAATCGGTTGCTGCTGGTAAATTTCCAACAGCTCTTAAACTTTCATCGTTAATTATGATATTTAAAAACGGTGAAAATTGTGATGTTGAAAACTATAGGCCAATCGCGCTATTAAGTATTTTCTCGAAAATCATTGAAAAAGTGATTGCAATGAAAATTAAAAATTACTTTCTTAAATTCGCTGTTATCACATATGCTCAACATGGTTTCAGGGCAGGCTACTCAACTGAAACAAGTATTATCGAGTATTTTCAGTATGTTTGTGATAAACTTGATTTATGCATTCGCGGATGTTTGAATCAATGGCTAGTTAGCTTTTTAGAGAATAGAACATTTTATGTTACTGTCGCTGATAAAAAATCTGATTAATTCAATTTAGATTGGGGCACACCTGAAGGCAGCGACCTTGGACCACTTATTTTCTCGATTTTCATAAATGATTTCCTGTACACTTATCCTACGGAAAATTACTTTTCTATGCAAATATCAGTTTAGCTGACTCATCGCAAGATCGACTTCAAGAAAAAATTAATGATTCGGTTAATGAGTTCAGTCAATGGTGCTTCAAAAATAGACTAATAATAAATATAAAAAAGACCGTTTCAGTTGAATATTTTCTGAAACCAAAAATTCCGTCAAATTTTAATTTCAGTCTTCAATCCAAGACAGTTGTAACTTCTTTTTAGGTGTAAGCTTTGGTTGCAATTTAAGATGGACAGAGCAAATTGATTCCGTATGTAAGAAGCTTGGAAAAAGTCTGTATCTAATACTTACGCTAGGGAGGATGATAATCACCTCAGCATTAATGGATATCTAGTATGCGTGTGTACACTCTGTCATTTCATATGGCATTACTACGTGGTGCCAGGCTAGTGTTTTCTTTCCAAAAGGAATCATTCGCATTATATTTAAAATACGGTCCAGATCGTCTTTCCGCGAGATATTTGTTAAACACAAAATACGTAGTTACAGTAGCATGTTATATATCGTTATAAACTTTTAACATATATTATTCAGCACAGAAATGATTATCTTAAGCATACTCACCTCCATGACTACAGCAGTCGTAATAAAAATAATATAGTTAAGCATGTGCCATACCATACGTTTCATTCAAGATCTCCCATAGCAGCAGGAATATACTTTTTTAACTTATTCCTGAGATCAAAAATGTAAGCTCCATAGGACTTTTCAAAAGACGTTTGCGGAACAAGCTATCGGTTTGCGGTTTTTATGACCTAGGTGAATTTGTCACTTTCCACAGTGGTTCTGGCAGATCTTAACAAATAATTTTTTGTCATGTGTGTATGTATCATATTGTTTTTATCTATATTTTAATCTGTATACACCGACTTATCCAATGTCTACAATGAAGATCTCACTGGATCAATAAATGAATCTGAATCTGAATCTGAATATGTTATCGACAAGCTTATGAAAATAACGAGGATCTACCTGATGATAACGTAATAATTAATAGGCATTATTGCAGATATAAATCTGGCACCTAAACCCTAGGCAAATGTGTTTTTTGATATGTTCTCCACGAGATTGGAGTTCGTTATCTTCCGAAAAATTTGACTCATATCGATCGATATGCAGGAAGCAGACCGAAATAAAAAAGTTAATTTATAGTAGTCAATAAATTGCAATACCCTAACGGTAGGTTCATAATAATGTGATTTTTTTCTCTCTTTCGCCTTCAAAATTAGCGTGACCTCATAAAGATCATATGATAGATGACTAAACAAGCACAACTTTTCCGTGGCCTTGTGAAGAGATCTATCCTATTGAGTGGATTTTTTTGAAGTCTCGAACAACTCGTGTCAGATCCATTTCGGTGTCGTGGTATAAAAATTAGCTTGCCCTTGAATTGCTCTTGTGATATCAACTTACCCTTCCCTCTCTTTCTACAAGATTTCTAAAAGAAATTCTTTCTTCAGTATAACAGTTCTCTGAGTATTTGGTTTCACCATTTTTGCAAATCTGACAAACTTCCTTCCCCTATTTCTCAGAAATGAATCGTTTCTTCCACAATAACTTCCTTACAGAAAAGCGAACAAGGGTTGTCTGAAAAATAAGGTTCCCAACGCTGTATCTTCGCCGCGCGTGTTTGTTAGCTCCCCCACCACCGATCCCAAGAAGAAGCGCGTATTTGCGATGCCCAGTACCCAGAAAAAATTGAAAATTATAAAAAATATTTATTTGCCGTTTGAGGGTTCATTACAATTATGCATGGAAGATGATATCCGTTTCGAGAAATTTTCGACTTCTCTGTGGCACAAATTAGGTCCTATCTTGGTAATTTTGCGTCCGAACTCCTGTTTTAGCTCCGCAATGGTGTTCGGGTTATTCTTGTAGACTTTGCTCTTGAGATACCCCCAAAGAAAATAAGGGAGTTAAATCACAGGATGGCGGCGACCAATTGATGTCGCCGTCACATGAAATAACGCGACCTGGAAACTTGCCGAGCAGTAATTGTATCGTTTCTCCTCATGTTTGACATGATCGAAAAAAAAATTCACTTCAACAATGTGGCTTGGATTTTCCAATTCCGAAATGTAGCAATTGTGAGTGTTTACGAAGCCCCAATCTGGAAATGTGCCTCATCGCTAAAGATTATTTTCATTAGAAAATTTTCCCCTTGTTCTTTTACCCATTCGGCAAACACACGGCGCTATTGATGGTCCCTAAGCTTCAATTTCTGTGTTATTTGGAAGCTATATGGGTGTAACTACAAATCTTTTGTTAAAATCCGCTGTGTAATGAAATAGATAAAGTCCAGTTGCTTCGATCGATGACGAATCCATGTTCTTGGATTTTCGGCCACACTTTCGGCAATAAGCATGCCTAGGGATTTTGATGTTAGCGACTGATCCAGTTTGCTCGAATTTTTTCACAAAATTCCAAATTGTCCTCTCACAAGGCCGATTTTGTGCGCCAAAAAATTCAGGTGAACCAGAAAATGTATTTTTTCTTGATCGGCCGTTTTCTTAATAGGCTTGGACAATTTTAAGACGTTGTTCGGTCATACATTGCTCCACGACTGTTTTTTCTTATATTCTCACTTTAGAAATGTCACGTTGAGGTTGACAAATTGAGTGGAATTTCAAAAAAAAATTATTTGTAATGTGGAAACTCAAATTGAATCACCCATTATAATGAAATAAGTTTTAAAATAAATCTAGCGGTCGTGGAGCTATAAGAAACACATGGTGTCATGTAGATTGATTCTACACTTCCCACGCCTTTGAAACGGATTCTAGTACAATTTTCCGTGTAGCGCTATTTCACCTATGTTTTTTTTTTTTTTATACTCCAACTACCACGAAGGCCTAAGGCCTAAGCACCCATTGGGTACCGTGGGGCTATGGGGGATACATGGGAAAGGGGGGACGCCACACGGACTCTGGCGAGGGAACACGTGTGCATGCAACATGCACACATTCTGGCTCCGCCTACGAGAACCGCCGGGTGGTACCTCCACGTTCGACAGTCAGAGACCATCTACCACCTACGGACAATCACAACATCCATGGCCAAGAGAAACATTTCTCCTGGGACGGGACTCGAACCCGCACAGCGCACGGCGGCTGATCAGGAGACCGAAGAGTCTACTACTGCGGCCACCGCATGTTTTGTCATTAATACACTAGTGAGCTTTCCGTAAAAACCATTCTCAGCTTACAGCGAGGCCCGTGCATGATAGCCTTACTTTGTTTGTTATCAGTGCTTGATAACTGATAATAATAGCTTAGGTACCTATGATCCTGAAAAAAAACATTATTAGTTGAACTTTAAATATAAAAAGTTCCCCAGACTATAGTCTAATCATATTAGCGAATTTTCCCGAAATAATTGTAAAGCCTTGTTTTATTGGCGCAAGTTTTCCAAGGGGATGCATGAAATGGGTAAACCAACCTTGTGGGAACATTTTTTATTTGACAATGAATGCGAAAACAGTTTCTTCGGATTCAACGGAAAGTGTTGACAGGAACGAAAAAACTTTTCATATAAGATTATTACGTATTTATAAGACCTACAAAATGAGACCACATGTAAAAAGATCCGACTAATATTAAAAAAAGTTATGGCCGAAAACCGAGGCAAACTGCAGGTTTTGGCACTTGCTGGTAATGCGACGGTAATGGTTACTCGCAGATAAGTGAAATTCTTTAAATTCATAGGATTCATACTTCTAAATAGCCACAACAAATTTGGAGTAGATTGGCCAAGTAGTTTTTGAGAATTTGTAATTGTTTATCTCTAAACACCTATTTTCCGGCCATCACTACTATTGTATTGAGCAATGGACAGGGTTCCTTCAAAGGGAATTTAATAGTAAAATACACGTGCTTACCTTGCCGATATGAACCAGAAACCATTATGAAAGATAAATGTTATCTTTATGTGAAAAACAAAGGTATTTTCTTCTAAACAAACTCAAACATTTCGTATTTGTGAGTAATTGAGCAAATGCGCTCGATATTCGAAAAACATACATTACTATACACATTTTAAAACAACGCGAATGTATCTATCATCTTTTGATGCGAATTACTCGCAAATACAAAATGTTTGAATTTGTTTAGAATAAAAAACGCAACCCATCCTTTTTGCATAAAAATAACATTTATCTTCCCGAATGGTTTGCGATTCATATCGGCAAGGTAAACTAGTGTATTTTGCTATAAAATGCCCTTTGAGCGAACCCCTTATATTGCTCAATAATCTTGAGTGATGGCCGGAAGACAAGTGTTTCCGGATAAACAATCAGATATTCTCAAAAACTACTTGACCAATCTATTAAAGTTTTTTTGTGGTTATTTAGAAGTACGAATACTAAGAATTTCAAATATCTGCAAAAAACCATCTTCGCATTACCAACAAGTGCCAAAACTTTAACAAAAACCTAAGATGCAATACTTATAGAACCTCAACTGCTATAGCCCCTAACCCCTAATTTGGATCTTTCCAAAAAGGCTTCCAAAATTAATTTAGGTAATAATTTTTATTTTTTTTTTACAAGGGTTTTCTGTTGTTAACATAGTCGTAACCTTGTTTGAAGGTATAATAAGCCCAGGAGCCTGCATTCGAGAAGTCACCGAAATACACCTGCATCAGAATATATAACAAACTTTCAGCTAACCTCAGGAATGTCAGTAGTATTGCTAGTTTTAATTGTGTAAACTACGAAAACATCAGTTGAAAAATGTTTCTACTCTCTGTCTGAATACCTCGCACTGTGATATATTTTTAAAACTTTTTTTATATGTGATTGACTGTACGCCTTAAGTTGTTCCTGTTTGTACTTTGTAAATACTTACGTTTGTTTTGTTTTTACTTTTAATTAAGTGTACTATGTACCTCCCCCTTAGGACGAGTCTTATGTCATTTTATGATCTACAAGATAATAAATGTATCTATCTATCTATCTATCTTGCCATCACTTTGTTTGGACGGCTTCCGGGAAGGGAAAACCTTACTTGAAAATTCAATCAAAATCCGAGCGGTACCCTATAACATGCAAAAACATCTCAATTCTAAGATTTTTCGCGATTACAATATTTTCTCACCAGTGGCATTATCTTCAAAGTATACAACTTCTACAATGTGTTTCTATTAATAATAATTAACGATTAATTACAGGAAGTTCCCCAGAGCCGACTCAATCTCAGTCTTCCCCCTCCCGAATCCCAAAGAGTCGCAGTACCCCTCCAAGCAGAAAGCAGTCGCCAGCTAGAAATACGGGAAAACCTCCTACTTCCGTATCCAAGCCAACGTCTAGGAACCAGAGCAGAAATCAAAGTAGAAATCAATCTAGGAATCAAAGTAGAGATCGAAGTCCTTCCAAAAATCCTACGTCACCCACCAGGGGACCTGCAAAGTACAGAAACGTTCAGCCAAAGGTACCCTTCAGTAAATCTGCACATACTGTAACATTTTGTGTCGGTAGTAGATAAGTAAAAAACAGTTCAAGTAACTCATTATTAGGCAAGTTAACTGCAAAAGCTTTAGGTATGGATCATTATCATTTTCAGTGACAAGGAAATAAATTAAAAGTGACTTGTTATTATGACTTTGGTTCTATTTCTATTCTTTGGAGGATACATGAAATACTAAATACGTTAGCTTCGCCGAGCCCACACTGTGATAGCTGGTCACTACCATGGATAAAGGTCACGACCGTAGCAGCATTCACTCTATGGTAGTCACTCCTATAGTTGAGAACATTTTGGTAAATAATCCCGAAAACCATGAGTCTAAAAGGAGTTTGACCAAAGCAAAAGCTTAGGACTTATCTCTGACTATCGGAGGCGGAGAATTTGAAGTGAATTTTCAAGGCTATCTGGCGGTGGTCATGCCCATTTTTTTAATTGATAGGGGATTTTTTATAGATTCGATTTTCAACGTTACTCTATGGTGGTGAACGGTAAATTCTCAAGTCTATCCATTTTCAGTATCAAAATATACGATGCGTTTCAGAAAGTGGACTAGATCTTGAAATGACTATGAAGGTTGAGATCAAGGTCAATTCAATATCACTATCAGATATGGAGGAAAAGGTTCTCAAGCTTATATCTTTTGACTGAGAACGGGTTGAGATTTTGTAGCGCCCCGAAACTGCTTTAATTTAAATTAACCTGGTCTTAGGTACTTACGAGGGATGTCTTTTAAGTTTTGCATATAGAAACATAGTAGGAATCGCGGATCGAACGTGAATACTGAATCTTAACCTCACTCTTTAGTAAACTTAAATTCAAAGTTAGTTTCACAACAATATGAGCAGTATTCTCACTATAGTGAATTTTTAAGTCTCACCAAGTCATTAGAAAAATGGAACTCAACCGAGAACGTTTTCGCGCCATAATTTATTACAACTTTCAGAGACAATTATCGCAACAAGAATGCCTTGCTGAGTTACTGTCTGTTTTCGGCAACGAAGCGCCACATCAGTTGACAATTTCCCGTTGTTATGGAGAATTCAAACGTGGACGGGTGAGTCTTAGCGACGATCTCCGCGTGGGTGCACCAAAAACGGCAGTCACCCAGGAAAACGTCGATGCTGTGCACAAACTCATCATTGAAGATAGACATGTGACATATCGCGAGATTGTGGCGTCCTTGAAGATCTCAAAGACTTCAATTCAAAAAATTTCACATGAAGAATTAGGAGTCAGAAAATTAGTTTCTCGTTGGATACCCCACCTGTTGACTGAAGAGCAGAAAGCAGCCAGGGTTAATTGGTGTCAAAAAACGCTTGACCGTTTCAATTCCGCAAAATGAAAAAATGTGTACAACATTGTTAGTGGTAATGAATCGTGGATTTACTGTTATGAGCCAGAAAATGAACGACAGTAGGCTGTTTGGGTGTTCCAAGGTGAAAAGCCAACAAAAGTCATCCGTTCTCGAAGTGTTTCGAAAAAGATGGTCGCGACATTTGTGTCCAGAGCGGATCATATTGCAACAATTCCTCTTAATGAGCAAAGAACTGTTACTGAGGATTGGTATACCACCACTTGTTTGCCAAAAGTCATCAGCGAGCTTCGAAAAATCAACCCTGAAAGAAGAATCAACCTCCACCAACACCATTCAAGCTCCCACACAGCCCAAGAAACAAGGCAGTATTTAACGGAAGAAAACGTGGAATTATTGGACCATCCTCCACATAGTCCCGATCTAAGTCCTAACGATTTCTTAACTTTCCCGAAAACTAAAAACAGACTGCGTGGTCAAAGGTTCCAGTGACCAGAAGAAGCAGTTGACGCATTCAGAAATGCCGTTTTGGATCTGCCAGCAAACGAGTAGAATAAGTGCTTCGAAAATTGGTTCGAGCGCACATAGATGTGTATTAATCTTCGTGGAGAATACTTCGAAAAACAATAGTCATTTAAAACTGCCTACCGTGTTGTTTTATTTCCATATGCAAAAGTTAAAAGACATCCCTCGTACAAAAACACTTGAAGGGTGAAATTCAAGATCACGGTCAAATAGCCGAAGGGAAATCCTACACCTATTCCTGGGTCGAATATCTCCTTGACGCATGGCTTTCGAGATTTTTTTCCATATCCCGACTATTCAAATGACCTATACAGGGTGTAAAGTTAGTAGTGGATCAACGAAAGTCAGTTGAGAGAGGGCCTCAAAACCTATCGAATAAACTCCTATATGTGTGATCCGAAATTTTATATTTCAGGAGATACTCGCAATTCTGTGAAATTTCGAGAAAAACTATAAACTAAAATTATTTCAATCCATGTAGAATAAACCCTGAAAATTTCAGCCTTCTCCGATAAGTATGTAATGTCACATTCGTTGTTGTGATGCGATAAACGTAAGGAAAGCAATAGAATCCTTACCACCTACAAGTACAGAACCTATTGTGTTTAGCCACTCTTTATGGCGACTTACCGACAAATGTGGAAGACAATTTAATCTAACTTTCAAAGAACATGTTCGAAATGCCCTGCTTTATCTTTTATACACAAGCGACACATTCCAATAACATTGTCTTTTAGCCTTTGAAATGAATTTGCGCTTTCCATAATTTTTATTTTTGATTCATCTATTTTCTGGCATAGTTGGTTGACATTTGTATATTCAAATGTATAGATTTTCCCCTTATAAAACCCCCATATAAAAAATCTAGAGGATTTAAATCGAGTGACCACAGAGGCCATCGTATGTGTCCACCTCTACCCATTCAAGGCCTAGAAAAGGCACTGTCTAAGTAATGCCGTACATCCCGTGCAAAGTGGCATAGGGCACCATCGCATTGAAAATACATGCAGCTTCGAACGTCCAAAGGTACATCCCCTAGCAGCTCATGCAAACTGCCTTGTAGAAAAGCAAGATATGATTGACCGTTCAACCTGGCGGGCAATTCATATGGTCGAATTAATTTTTTGTTGGGTACTTCAGCCCATAAATTAACGCCGAACTGACGTTGAAAGCTGTTTCGTCGAACAGCGTGTAGATTTTCCACGCTCCATGAACGGAAATTGTACATGTTGAATATCCCATTTTGGTTAAAGTTCGATTCATCTGTCCATAAGATGCTGCCAAAAAAAGTTTCACCCTCTTCGCTCCTTCTCAACATATTCTCACAAAATTTAACCCGTTGTGCATAGTCGCTTGGAAGCAATTCTTGTACGTTTTGTACATGGTACGGATGCATGTTCTCCGAGCGTAGTATTCTGTGCACTGAAGTATGGGATATATTTCTGCTTCGGGCAATGGCTCTGCTGCTTATAGGCGGATCTCTCTCGGCTTCTTCTATTATATCTTCTATTTCTTCTGGGCGTATCCTCGGCGCTCCTAGCTGACGATGAGTGCCAGGTATGCGGCCCTCCATATACTCATTATGGATACGTAGAAAAACGCGGTATTCGGGATATACCGCCGGTTGTGGTCCACCTCTTCTAACCTCATACTCCCGATACATGCGAGCAGCTGCTCGAGCATTTCCTAGGGCAGCACCATAATAGTAATGCATTTTCTGCATAATCTGGCGGAGAATATGACATGATTCTACTCAGACGCCAAACGTAAGATACAAATTCCGCGCTGGACCACTGGCTGACTTAGTAATTTCGGTTGGATCGAACATTAAACGCTCCCGAACCAGGCATGCCGAGTTGAATGCCCAAGCTCATTAAGCTGATTTGGCTATTTGCGTAAAGAATCCGCCATTTTGATTTTACAAAATGTTATCACACACAGTATCACTCGCACTGCTAGGACGAATCTAACAGTACCTCATATGTCAAAATCCATCAATAGAATTTCTTGTTTACATGTATTGCAAATATCTCCTGCACTATAAAATTTCGGACAACACCTGAAGGGGTTCATTCGATAGGTTTCGAGGCCTCCTATCATCTGACTTTTGTTGATCCACTACTAACTTTACATCCTGTATATTACACTGTAATTTGTAAAGTATAATCCACTATAACATCCAATTGTATAAACTGTAAATTTATCGCACTTCTGTTAGAGCCAATAGACGTTTTTTCTGCATGCCTGGCAATTCAAATTACAATTTTGTAAATGCTCTATTGAAAGTTCTCAACCGTAGATCAGATTACTTATTTTTTTAGTTACAAAAATCTGAAGAATAAATACAGAAATTGAAACTACTACTTGTAACCAGACAATTGTAAAATTTAATTTTTTACTATGCCTCGTCATAGATGCCTAGTTATAGTGTAGCGTAGACTGTAGATTTTCTTCCCTCCACAGGTTAACACTTTCAACAAGCCTCGAGACAGGCAACAAAAAGTGCTTCCAGCAGATACCACAACAGAATCGGACTCGCCTAGAGGTCACTACAAACCATCTATAATGAAAAAGGACACTATACACAGATCGAGGACTAACCAACCGAAATCAAACCACGCGCAAAGACACGATAACAAAATTAGTGACACCATCACCAGTGACAGTTCGGTCAATAATAATAATAATAATAATAATAATAATAGTAATTTAAATAAAAACAAAACAAATGCTAGATCGAACAACAGTAGCGTATTCGATAATAATAATACTTTTGGCAATAAAATTAACAACTCAATCAATAGCAACAATCAGGGAAACAACAAATTAGCAAAAAGTAATGATAACGAAAATTTCAAAGACACAATAACGAACTCGAAAGTGAAAAGTGATGATACAGTGATAAAACCGTTCGGTGTTTCGAGTAACAGTGAAGTGGCAGAAGCGCAAGAGGATGAAAGGGTGATTAGTGGTGTGGTTGGGGTATCAATACCTTCTACGACAGCTGTCGTGTCGAGCACTACGTCAACTGTGGCTCAACCGCTGAAAATTGAGACCAGTCTCAATCCTCTTAAGTTGTTTGAAGGCACCAAATCTGTGTCGCCTATCGTAAGTAGACACTTTCTTCTATTGATTTTTAAACAAAAACGTTAGTAAAGTCGAAACAAACAGCGTAAAAGTGATGAGCAGTAAGTAACACAGGCTACAGCATCACATTGATTGAGATTGAACAAACTCGTTTTCAACACAATCAACCGATTGATATCACGATAATTATGAGAGATAATTGATTGATCCGATTTTTTACTACCCAACGCTCTTCATAGACGTTCCTTGAGGACCGAAGACCTTGAAAAATCATCTCCCTCTCTCTCTGGATTTTAAACAAACAATGACGCGTCCTTGAAGATGAAGAGACGATTTTATACCTGCATTTCACAGAACTATTTGGCAGTTGTCCTCACATTTTATCGAAATTTTAAAAATTACGAAATTTGTATGATTTTTCAAAATTTTTGAATTTTCAAATTCGTTTAATATTCAGAATTTTCAATATCTCCGAGCTTTTAATATTACCAGTCTATTACTATGGTCTAAACAGGAATTTAACGATCAGTGATTTTAACTACAAGTTCGAATAAGGTTGAAGAAACTGTAATATACTGTATATACTTCTTTAACAATGAATCTGTTCCGCTTCTTCCCTATCCGTGAAACATAGCAAGTCAAATTTGCTGTATGTACAACAATGTACATATCCACAAATGTTGCAACTTGCCACAAATGTAGATTTTCCACTCGTTAGCAAATTAAATGGTAGGTGCACTGTAAAGAACCGTGTGCCCCGATACGGTATAAATTCTATTGAAACAATGAGTAATTTTAGACTTAACAGGTGACATTCCTTCCTGATGTTACCTTCCTCCTATTGTTTTGTTTTGCTTAGCAGTACGAAGTTTATTCACAGTGAACCATTTCTAATTTCATCGATTTGTAAAAAGGTGGACGCATTTTAAATAAATGGTGAATGTGCCGTCAGTGTTGTATCTACCGCTATTGATACCGCTTTTCCCAATATCAGGTAACCAAATAAGTTCGTGCGTTTGCTGTATATCCCACATTGCCATGGATGTTGTTGATCGATAGCGATTGTTTGTTACCTGTTGTCACTTTAGTATGGATCCTTCTTTTCTCACACACATAAAAAGTTGTTGAAAATTGTTACATACCTAGTTTTAATAATTGAAAATGGCGACGAATAAAACAGAAATTCGAAGTTGTTTACTCTATGAGTACAAACTTGCTACAAAGGTGCAGCGGCGGCACGAAAAATATGTACCGCATGCGGAGATGATGCCGTCAGTGATCGAACAGCACAGAAGTGGTTAAAAAAATTTCTTCGAGAGATCTCGGTTTGAGCGATGAACCGCGCTCAGGGACACCAAAAATCATGAACAACGAGGATCTTCGACATGTGGTGTACGCAAATTCCAGGACAACGTGCCAAGAACTTGCAGAAGTGTTTAGAGTGAGTCCTGAAACTATTCGTTTGCATCTTCATCAGCTAGGAAAGTCGCGGAAGTTAAGCAAATGGGTCACACATGAACTGACAAATGATAACAAATTAAGTCGTCTTACCATTTGTTCAGCAAACATTTCACGCAACGCTAATGAGCCATTTCTTAATCGGTTATTAACCTGCTTCGAAAAATGTATCTTGCATTCGAATTCTAAGCGTTCGTATCATCGGTTGTCGCCTACTGATTCGGCACCACACACGGCCAAGGCTTCCTTGCACCCAAACAAGGTTTTGTTGTATGTTTGGTGGACAGCAACTGAAATTGTCCATTATGACTTTTTGGCAAGGGGTTAAACCATCACTGCTAACTTGTATTGTGAGAAGCTTCAATAAGTACAAGCAGCACTCATCCAGAAACAGCCTTCTTTGATCAATCGGACGAAAGTGATATTCTTGCAGGATAACGCCAAGCCTCACACCGCAAAAGTCACACGAGAAAAAATTTATGAACTCGAGTGGAAAACGTTACCGTACCCGCCATATTCTCCCGACATTTCGCCGAGTGATTATCACCTTTTTTTGTCTCTTGACAACTGTATGAGGCACCGACAGTTCACAACTCCAGATGGTGTAATAAATGCACTCCGCCAATTATTTGACCCCAAATCCAGGGAGTTTCACAATACCGACATACAAAAATTGGTTCCACGTTGGCAAAAGGTCATTGAATGTGATGGTAATTACTTCGACGAATACATAGTGGCTTATTGTTTCTCAATAAAAAAATATATTTTTCTACTAAAAACCGCGCGAACTTATTTGGTTACCATATTATAATTCTGATTATAATTAGGTACGCATCCCTATATTAACGAATCATTGTGGAAACCTGGAAACTATTTACATCCTCACGTTTCGATTGTGACAGCCTCAGTGGTACCTCCGTTAGTAAATATTTGGAAGCGCCAATGTATTTGTGGACTTTTAAGTGATCCATATTACAATTGGTGCTTCTGTTATAATAACTATGGTTTCTAATTGGTCCCTGTCGGACTCCTTGTTCGCAAATGGTGGTAACACAATGCTTTTCAATTGGGTACTCGAGAATGAAATTCCTATTTTAACATATTAGAGACAGTTAAAAATTTGAAGATGGCGGCTGGACGTAATTTTGAAACTTTTTTTTGAATGGAATTGGGTGTCGTGTGATACCTTATTTTTAAGCCACTTATGAGTACTTTCTAACACTACAGCACAAAATGTCCTTATCTACCAGGCTGTCTATTTTGACCGTTTTTGTACATTGAGTCATTTCATCAACAAATTATACTGCGGGCTCTGTAATATGTCATATCAACCTTTTTTTCTTGGAAATGTCTATCCAGATATTCATCAAAACAGGAAACATATTCTTCATTCCGATTATCTCAATTTTAGATGATAGTGATCTTATATTCTAGGATTATAAAGTATTTATCAACAGCTTCAAAGGTATGTATCATTCATCGTACTATTTGTAAAAATGTTCCAAGATGGCTCACAGTCGCCATCTTTAAATTATCAGCTGTTTTTCATAACAGTATAGTTTTTATGCATCAGTCTCATTTCGAATAGACCATTGCTGATTGAAGCATTCAAATAATAAGTGGAATTGGGACCTTTCTGAAAAGCACTTAGTAGTTGAGGGCATCAGTTTGGACTGAGTTCTGAAGCCATGCAGTTTAAAATATTTTTTTATGTTCAGAAAGCCATAATATTCTGTAGCAAAGTTAAATATATGTCATAGCCCCGGAAAATCCTTGGAATCGGAGATATATTGCTTTACTGTTTTAAGTAAAATCTTTCTAAAGGCTGATTTATCTAGGTGGATGGTAAGATCCTGAACGCCACCAGCGTCTCCAGCGCCATAAACAAAATGAACGATACCGTGTTGGACTCCCAGACTGTGATGAAGGAGTCAGGCCTCTCCAGGTTAACACCCACCAATCCTGTGGTGTCATCTTCAGATACCACTCCAAGAAACAACCCTGCTTTGGACACTAAGAACGCCACAACTGCCCTACCGACCGTCGAACCCATTAGAAGCTCAGAGATGGGGATTGGAAATAATAATCATACGAATCATGTGACGCATATGATGAACAACAGGCCATTAGATATTGAGGTAAGCTTTAAATCAACTAAAAACTATCGAAAAGAAAAATGACATCAAGTAGGTTCATTCTGTGCTTCCCGCGCAACGCCACCATGAGTTCACAAGTTAGAGTATATCGAAATAAGGCAGTGCTATCTATCTTCTATTCTAATATGTCCATACAATTAGTCATTCATAGACATTCCTTCCCTGCCCTACTCGTAGTACTGTGCATCTGATAACGTCGCCTCTCACTAATACCTGATCTCACCATGCGTCAGACGTGGCAATGTGTCACATGCGAGGTCACAAGACGGCACGTGAAGCTGGTGAAGCTAGAGATCAGACGCAGGAACTCGTGTCGAAACCATATCACTATCGAAGTTTTGAGGGCAAATATACGGGGAAATCTATGATGTATGAAATATTTCTGACAAATGAGTAGAATTGCACTGGTTGATAGTGTATTAATATACTAACATCAATTGTAATAGACCAAATAGAAGGGTGAGGGGCTAACCATTATTGAAAAAAAAAAGTCTCATTCAATCAGATTCCTTTGGATCGTCTTGGAAATCTTTAGATCTCTAGAAGAAAGGGCTCCAGGCCAGAGCGAAATTTGGGGGCCTGCAGTTGGAGAAAGTTGAGCGGGTGGTCGGTAGTTGGTGGTGGTTTTCAGATATTTCTTTTAAATATCAGTCTACTTTTGGCTATTTGGTGGACCCAACAAGCTGGAGCCATGGGTATGGGTCACAATTCATCTAGGGTAGAGGAGTAGAGCTTTCCTATATTCATCCCATCGTGAGTCACATAAAAAAACTCCCCCAACATCGAAGTATTAAAAATCTTTTGAATACTAGAAACTGAATACTGGAACTGGCTTATCTTATTCTAGATGCATAGAAGGATGGACAACGGCGGTGGCAGAACGTCAACGGACCGAATTCCAGACAAAGTGAAAGAAATGAGAACAGTAGTAGCATCAGATGTGCAACCAATCAAGATCACAGTCAGGGAAAAACCTGGGGTAGAAGTGCAAAGTGGAAATGTTAGGACCGCGATGATCAATGGAATAAACGAAAGACCAAGACATAGGTAAGTCTAGTAGTATTAATATGTGCTTAGGTACAGATTCTTAGGAGAGAGAAATAATTTGCTTCCTCAATAAGGTGCTTTTGGGCAAGGTTTCATGATGTATTGTGGGTCGTGTATGAAACTGGGTAGCTTATTAGATCAAGCATTCAGAAATTGTGGTTTGAATACGGTACAGCTAGGATTATCTTGTTCTGGTAGCATATACGTACGACTCTAAACCAATCGGTTGATGCTCGATATTTACAAAGGAATCTAGTTTACACAATTTGAAGCTGTTATTGGATTTTAGGGTTTGAAACTGAAATTTGGTACCCTGATAAAAAATACAAGCTGTATGCTTCAATGAATGTTTAGCTTCATTAGGAGTGTAAAGACAACCTGAAGGCTCACCCGAAGATGCTCTAATAGCAAGGTTAACAACGTATCAACTATGCAGGGCAGATCCGGGGGTATTCTGGGGGTACAATGCGACCCCCTCCCCCAAAATATTAGTTTAAAAAAATTCTAACGTATCTTTCAACTTGTTGACGACCCCCACCCGCTCCTAAATTTTTAATCTTCGATCTCGCACCCAGTTCTTCAATTTTCCATCGCCGATAAAACGTCGAGGCGAGCTTCTTCCTGAACATGAATATTAAGCCCCTTCCACAACACTTATTGAGCGGGTAATTTCAAGTTCGTCATATAGAGCCCCCAAAAGTATTTTCCAGATGCGCCCCCAAAATAGTAACTTCGTATGTGATCAAAATTCGAGCTGCGCCACCATTGAGGATGTCGTAAGAAGTCCATGGTTATCTGAAATATGAACATCACATCAAGATGTCAGTGTTCCTAATGACAGAAAAAAGCGGCTAAATATATAAACTAAATTGGGGTTAGTGGTCCATTTCAAGAGCGTAGGGCTACTTTAAGTGAGCTTACCCCCCGTGTGACAATGAAAATTGCGTGTCGTAGAAGTTTATATGGTAATGATTGGCCTGTTAGGCTGAGAGCTGAAGTACGATTATCCAAGTGCTACTAATATCCATCTATGTAAATGATAAAGCAGGATATGGCAGAAGTATAAATCCAAAATGTACACATTTGTATTTTTTCATATGAACACAACAAGAACAACATGCAATAAATAAAGGTAGTACTGCGACTTATGGGTAGTTCGTCAAACGTGGAACTACCGATCCCTCCGTATCTATTCAAACGTTGGATAAAAGAATCGCAGACTGAATTAAATTTGTTTGATCTCCGTCTCTGTGATTATAACAACCATATATAACGTCGTTTCATGCTTTTTAGCGATCATCAGTATGGTATAGGTCTGCTTTTCGTAATCCAAATGACCAGACCTATACCGTAATGATGATTGCTGATAATCATGAAACAACGTTGTATACGGAGTGACTGATTTTGATAATCAATTAAATAATTAGTTTTGCAACATTTTAGGTCCACACAACCAGCATTGCTACTTGAATTTCACTCATAAGTGAGAAGGAAAGCTTGAAAACATTTGACTCACTTTAATACTTCTTCGGACTTGGTTGTTTTATAACCAAAACTTGATATCTTTCAAAATTATTACCCATAATCAACCATACACAACCTTGTTTGGTGCTCATGAGCAATCATCAGCAATGTGTAACACGGATTTCCGCCTTCTGGATCTAAATGACAAGACCTCTACTGTACTGATAATTGCCAAAAAGGACGAAACAACTTTGTATACGTAGGGTTATGGTCACAGAGGCGGGAAGCAAACATATGTTCAGCCTAAGGACAAGCATTAAAGAATGACCGATGAATTAAATAATTAGTTTTGGAACATTTTAGGTCTACAGAATCGTTTAAATGTTACTGCTTGAAACTTATTCAAACGTGTTAAGCAGAAAATTGAAAACAATTGACTTTTAATATTTCTTTGGACTTGGCTGCGCTGTAACCAAAACTTACCTTTCAGAATTAATATTATTGGAATTGGCAAGAAACTCAAAAAACGTAAACAAACGTGGCTATTTTGACATTATCTGTTGTTTTTAACTAACCAAAAGGGATCGACGTTGCATTGTTGATATGGAATAAAACAAGCTGTGTCTGAAGTATTCATGGGACTCTTAATGACATATAAAAACTGCGAACACTTGACCGATATTATGTGCTATATAAAATGGCTTTTCAAATCAGTTGGTTGATCCCTCGAACATTTCGACATAGAAAAAACCTTTATATGCCTATAACCTTTGCATTAGAATAACATCAACCTATAGGCGTCTATTATCTCCTAGGCTATAACACCCACTATTATTATAGTATTATAATGAAGGCCGCAACAAAACAGGGCACAATCTTGCGTATACATCCACTTCCCCAACAGTTGTAGGAAAAAATAAGACGAAGATATCGATTGAATGCAAATTTTCTTGGAGTGGGGTTCTGACGACTGGGCAATGTCTTGCTTGTGCTATTTTTTCAAGAATGTGTTGACGTTTCGGGATTATAATCGTGTTTCACATTATATGCAGAGATCAGAATATCGATTATCAATAATAATAACACGGATATGAAGTTAAAATAATGTAGTTACTAATAGTAATTTCATTTATATACAGGGTGGCGCATTGAAAACGAAACAGACGCATTTACTGGCAACTCAGTTTTTTTTAAAAACGCTCGGACTCGTCGAATTTTTTTGGAGGGGACACAAGTTCAGCAAAAAATCACGTTAGCCTCTAAGCGGGGGTGACACCACCCCCAAAATCTTAAATGGAAAGCGGGGTCGAGTGATACCTTATTTTAAAGGTCTTTCAATTCCCTTTATAATGATATAAAATTAATGTACTTCAGTTCAGCAGTTTTGAAGATTTATTGATTTAAAGCTTAAATAAAATTAGTGGAGATCAATACATTTGGCAGCAAAGTAATTTAAAAACGAAGAATGAACTGACCCGTTAGGCAAGTAAATGTTGAAAATGGCCACCATGACTCTCCATGCAATAATAAAGATTTTGGTCAAAACGTTGCCGCATATTTTGCAATATTTGAGGAGTAATTTGAAGGCACTCATTCACAATTATTTGTCGCAGGTCTTCTTATGGTGTTGGCTGAGTAGCATAGATTTTGCCTTTTAAATGACCCCACATAAAGAAATCCAAAGGTGATAAATCTGGCGATCTTGGGGGCTATTCAATGGCACCTCTTCTACCAATCCATCGAGCTGGAAACGTCTGATCTAATTATTGTCGAACACGTAATGCGTAATGTGGTGAGGCACCATCTTGTTAGAACATCAACCTATTCGCAATGTACCGCCGATCATTCTGATTTTCAATAATGGCTGTTAATGCAGGATCTATGGCGTCTTCCAGTAATTCCAAATACATTTTACCGGTCAAATTTCGAGGTAAGCAAAAATGACCAACTAAATGATCGCCAAAAATACCAGCCCAAACATTTAATTTTGTGGCTGCTGTGTATGAACCTCATGATAAATTCTGGCATTAGAATCGGACCAATATCGGCAGTTATGTCGATTTACTACGTCATTTAAGAAAAAATTCGACGGAAAAGCAAGTGTTCCATAGAAAATGTTAATCGTTTATAATTCGTTCACTCATATCTTCACAAAATTGTAATCGCCGATCAAAATCGTCTTCATTAAGCTCTTGTACCAGGTGAATTTTGTACGGATGAAAACTATGGGCCTTTAGAATCCGTTGGACAGTAGGTAGACTAACACCACACATAGACTCCAATTTGCGGGTACTTAACGTAGGATCTACATAGACATAGCCCTAAAACCCCCACCTCTATTGCTTCGTTCCTTATGGGATTTTCAATGTTGCGTTTTTTATTGGCGACTGACCCAGTTTCCATAAATTTAGCAACAAGTTCTAGAACATATTTTCGATGCATGTTACTGTTCTCGTGTCGCTCATTAAATATTTCTGCTGTTCTATTAGCGCACTGATTATTTCCGAAAAATATTTCGATAATTTCAACTCTTTCTGCTGTGGAATATACTATGGTTAATATATGTAATAAAGCGTTACAAGTTACTTTAGCAACAAAGTTTGGTCAAATCAATCGCAAACTGTGTACTAAATTTCTATTTAAAATAAGTACGAGATATTTCCTTATCTTTCTTCAAGAAATAACTTTTTTGTCACAAAAAAACCCTCCATTAGCTATTTTCAATAACAAAATGATAAACAAACCATGGGCGTAGTGAAGAAAAGCATTTACTTATTAACTAAATTCTTTTAGTCAAATTTCTTCTGAAAGTAGTACAAACTAGTCAGATGTACCTATTAAAGTCTACTTTAAGCTTTAAATCAATAAATCTTCAAAACTACTGAACTGAAGTACATTTATTTTATATCATTATAAAGGGAATTGGAAGACCTATAAAATAAGATATCACTCGACCCCCCGTTCCATTTAAGATTTTAGGGTTGGTGTCACCCCCGCCCAGGGGGCTGCACATGTTAACGTGATTTTGAAAAAAAACTGAGCTGCCAGTAAATGCGTCTGTTTCGTTTTCGATGCACCACCCTGTATAGTAATGAAGAAAAAAGGTATTTCCTGATCCTAAGTATGTATTCATTTATACACCTTGCACCCTTAAGTGATCCTCAAGTGGAGACTTAGCATACGTATTCCACAGTAGGTTGTTAAAGTTATCATCCCAGGTTTTGAACGAAACTTGCTGAACTTTAAACATGTTCTCTGTTTTCAAAATAATTAGAACTATGAAAGCTTTTAAAAATTTAAACTTCTCAATCTGTATACCAAGTATTTAAGATTTCATGAATTTCTAAGGTTTCCAGGAATTTATAAATTGTTATAGGGTTTATTTGAATTCCCAACCCCCTATTTATTGTAAGATGACTTTGCTCCACATCCCAACAAGCGATACGCTGTTTTTTCTCTTCTGAGTCATACAAGCACAATCTAAATTTCTTATCGCTTGTATCACATATTGCAGGCCCATGCCACAAGGTAAGATA